AAAAAAAAGTTAAATTTCTAAGGCTTTCAAATCTCACCCCACCCCCACACACATTTTCGTGCATCATGTTTTCGTATAAGACATAGAGAAGAAATCATATTTTCTTAGTATGTTATTTAATTGTATACAAAAATAATTTATATTATATTTTTGCAGGTATATTGTTCCTTTATGACTATTGTTAAATATAATAATAATAATAATAATAATAATAATAATAACAACATAATAAAATAGTAGTAATAATAATAACTACATGCATGCATAGTTATAATTTTTTGTTATACATTGTACATTATATCCTACTATATCCTTAACAGCATTAATTAACATTTAACAATGAAACGTTCTTCTAAAGCATTAATTAAGCATAGTTAATTTCAGCATGCACTAATACATTTTTAAAATCAAAACTTGTATCTTTTAGTATTTAGTGTCCCTAACATGAACTAACAATAAACAGGTATATTTTTGTTTATTAACTTAAACAATGATTCATAAATACTGTAACAAATGTATTATTCATTGTTAGTTAATGCATAACAACAACAATAATAATAATAATAATAATTGTCTTATGTACAAAATTATATGCAAAAATGTTTAAATTTATTATTATTATTATTATTATTATTATTATATAGGTAAATTGTTCCATCATGGCTATTGATGTTGATGGTTAAATTAATAATAATAATAATAGTAATAATTTAGTATTATTAGTAATAGTAATTTATGTATAATTTATTCATTTTCATTGTATGAATTTTTTTAATCTTTTTTTTTTTTTTTTTTTTTTTTTATTTTTTATTTGGATATTTTAAAAAACAATTTTTTTTATTTTTTTTTATTTTATGATATGAATGAATGACATTTTCATCCCCTGTAAGTGAACAGTGTCCTAAAATAACAATTCAGAATTTAAACCTTGCATGTAAAAAAAAATCCAGTTTATTCAAAACGGTTCACAAACAAATTTTTCCAACTATAAGCTGACTCTCTATGTTGACCGTTATTGATGGAGATGAATTACCTCGGAGATGTATTTTTGCTCTCCTCTCATCTCATCTCTAGAAACTTGATTTCCAAGCCTGAATTTCACAGTGTCTATCAGCTCCGTCACATGGTTGGTTGTTTATTTACAAGAGCGCTCTCAGCCTCCTCTTTTCACCCTGTAACATCTGTCTGTGTGGGAGACAGCGATGGAGACCTCATGTTCCGTTACCTGATAAAATCTCGCCAAAGCTAGTCGAGTTCAGAGGCTCGTGTAGCCAGCGCTCTCCACGGTACACTTTGTACTGCTGCGTGTGCATTCGAGACTTCCACCTCACGGCTGCTTTGTTTCTCTACCTCGTCTCACGCGGCCCTGGGCAAGCCTGCGGTAAAAACCTGAAAAAGCCTGATCTGAGGTCAGACTTCAAACGCGTTTGCTTTCTATCGGCGACCAGGTGTCAGACCCGACTGCAAAGCTGCCTGGGAAAGTCAGAGAACAAAAACCTGAAGAGCATAGCAGTGCATTTTCCCCTTTCTTTCTCCATCTACGCCTTGACTTCTCGCTCGCCCCCTCTGGCATTTCCTTTGAGTGCATCTTAAAGTGTCAAATAAAGCTTCAGCCCTGTGTTCACTAGCTCAGGGACTCACTTAGTTCTTTTATGAAGCCTGCGAGTTTATATCTGCATTTCATGTCTCTATTTTTAATGGTTTCTCTTCTGTTCTTGATCTAACATGCCATTTTGTCCAATTGGATTATCTAATAATACGCCGTGATGGAAATACATTTTGCCACCAATTGTAATGTTGCTATAGACACAAACGCAATTCAAAGTAAACATCACGAGCTGCTTGCGTTGTGATGTAATTTCACCCACACAGATGAGAGGATGCCAGATTTGTACCACACTTGAAGTGTTGATGTGATATGCAGCCGTTTTTAATTTCTTCTCTCTCTTTTTCTTCTGAAGGTATGGAGTGACTCCGGAAAACATCATCTTGTACGGTCAGAGCATAGGGACGGTGCCGACGGTGGACCTGGCGTCCCGGTACGAGTGCGCGGCAGTGATCCTCCACTCTCCCCTCATGTCCGGCTTGCGTGTGGCCTTTCCCGACACACGCAAAACCTACTGCTTCGATGCCTTCCCGAGGTAAGATCCAAACATCTGTGGACCACAATGCAATGCATGAGAATGCAGACTCCTATAGCTACAGTGTTATTTTAGTGTCCTTGAGATGCTATTATAGTTTGTATTAATATTTTGAATTATTTTCAATATATATTTTTTTGTTTTCAGCATAATTTAGGTTAAAGTATTAGTAATTTTGTTTTTATTAGCTTTTTTTTTAATGTCTATAGTTATAGTAAACATTTTTGAGTTTTAGTTATTTTATTTTACTACAACTAAATGAAAATAAGAAATGTTGTTTAAAGAAAGGTTATTTTTAATATTTAATTTAAATTTAGTTATGAAAATAGTTTTATGGAATTTTAAGTTAACTATAAAAACCATGCTATACTACCATTCAAAAGTTTGGCCAAAATCTTTTTTTTTTTTTTTTTTTTCTTTTGAGAAATTAATACTTTAATTCAGTAGGGATGCATTAAATCGAACAGAAGTGACAATGAAGACATTTTGGATAATGCTTTAAATAGCCCATTTATTAGTTCATGTAGTTAACTGACATTAACTAATGGCACTGAATTAACTAGTGCTACCAACTTTTAATGTTGTAAAAGATTAAATTGCTTTTCAATTGAATTTTTTTTTTTTTAATAAAACTGAAAAACGTCCATGTTAACATATGTATTAGCAGCACAGGTGTTTTAATTTCAACATAATCAGAAATGTTTCTTTCTGCAGTAAATCATCATATTAGGATGATTTCTGAGGGGTCGTGTGACACTGGAGTAATGATGCTGAAAATTCAACTTGTAATAAATTACATTTTTTAAATATATTCAAATAGAAACCAGCTATTGTAATATTATTTCTCAATCTGTTACTGTTTTTACTGTGTTTTCGATCGAAAATGTAGCCTTGCTGAGCATAAGAAACTTTGAAAAACTAAAAAGCATGCTGACCTTAAACGTTTGACCGATAGTGTGCATGATCTAAATTTTTATGCATCGTTGTTTTCCAGTTTTGAGTGCAAAATGCTTTAGATGATCCATGAATGGGCTTCGGGTGGTTTGTTGGCATGTAGCATCAAACCAATAACAGCCTGAAGCTGCGCACAGTTCACCGCGGTATCCACACAGATGCTAGCAGGAACATCAGGAAGCTCAGAATGGCCTCATCACTCATACAACAGGGATCTGAACGAGTCGAGAGTTTAATCCGAGTTGACACGGCAAAGTTTCCTTGACACAGAGAACCACAGTTACATCCTGTAAACCTCATCCAGCCTTCATGCTTTGTTCCTTTACCTCCTCTTTTCCATTTGTACAGTTTATTTTAGCTTCCACACTCTTTCTGAGGTTTTATAAAAGTGGGAAGTGACTTGCGTTTCACCATGCTGAGCTAGAAAGTGCTAAAAGTGAGCCATTTGCCTTCCTTTCAGCAGTTCATGCGATGGCTTTCAAGTGTCTCACTGCTGTAGCCATTTTGGGGTTTTATTTTGCTTCAAAGTGAACGTTTTTGCATGTTTGTAAAATTGCCAGTATGCAAACTGTTACCGTTTTCGTTCTAATTATGCAACCTAGATGGTGTATATACAGTAAAAATGTTATGGTGGAGGTTCTGATATACTGTTTATTCGAGTATCTCTATATCCATATGGCTATTAGTGGACATTAGTTCATAGTTAATATATAACCCTTTTTAAATGCATTTTTAAGTTATGATTTTGTGGTGCAACTAAAAGCAGAGGCACTACTAACTTGACCTTTTTTTTGGTAGTGACTGGTAGTTTGGTAGTTTTTAAAGATTGGTAGTTTTTAAAGTAGTCTTGCTTTTTCCATTTCCCTTTTTTCCATCAATTAACGCAACAAAATGCTGCATGCGAAGCACGTAGCTTTACTGCTCTCACATAGCATGGCAAATGTTTGTTATGGTTCGTGTAAATGAACCGGTTTAAAACCGGTTTTAGGTTTATTTTTGTGTTGCGGAATATTTTGTCAAATGCTGCTTTTCATCGTTGTTTTTAATTTAGTTGTATAAACAAGGGTGTTATATTTAGTGTAAATTTATTCAAGGTTGAGGCTGTCAGCAGTCTTAATTTAGGATTATTTATGTACTGTTAAAGTATTTTGATATTTATTTTTATATTTTTAGTTATTTAAATTTTAGTTTTAGTAAATTTGTGCTTTTCAATTTTTTTCTATCTCGCTATAAAATCTATAAAACTATTCCTGTTTCAGTAAATTTAGTATTTATATTTATTTCAGTTGGTTGCTAAGGCAACATTCTTATTTTCTTTTTTAATTTTTTAATAATATTTTATTAATATATTAATACAATTAATTTTATTTGAATTTTATTTTACACTTTGAAAGAAATGTGTACTTTAATTCAGCAAAGATGCATCAAAAAGTGACGAAAGAAAAAAATCTGTTCATTTGAACTTTCTATTCATAAAAGAATCGTGAAATAAAAGCTTTGCCATAAATAACATTTTAAAATATATTCAAATAGAAAAGTTATTTTAAATTGTAATAATATCTCACAACATTACAGTTTTTACTAGGGATGCACCGGTATCGGGCCCGATACTGAGCTCCTGTACTCGTACTCGTTAAAATGCTCCGATACCAAACGCCGATACCACACAGCATGTGATAAGTGCCATATTCAGACAAAGAAACACCAGTTCACTATAAATGTCATTTATTTTTAACCTTAGGCCAACCCTCTACGCACACCTTGGCAATATAATCGCCATTGGCTAGTAAATTTTTGTTTACTCGCCAGACTGATAAATATATACATACACATACATATTGTACCCAATATTTAAAAAATTTACAAATGCAATAAAAATATTGGTATCGGTACTCTGTATTGGCAAGTACCAAAAATAAAAGTATCGTATCGGGCGAGTACTGGAAAAAGTGGTATCGGTGCATCCCTAGTTTTTACTGCATTGTTGATCAAATTAATGCAACCTAGAGACTGCTTTCAAAAACATTAAAAATCTTACAGACTCCAAACCTTTTAATGCTAGTGCTTCTGTCATATAAAATGCATCTGTGATATATGCAGCAGATGCTGGACATGTGGATGGTCTATAATTGCAAAGCATAAAAAAGAAAAGAATGGCTGGTTATTGCATTGTGCTGCTATTATAAGATCAGAATGAGGGAACTTAAATACTACTCCTAATATGACAGGTCTGCAATTAACACAAGACGTGACTTATACAGTATAAGAGCACAAATACACTCGCACACAGGCTTTATTTCAGTCTCTCTGCCAGGGACATAAACTTTCATCCATTATGTCAAATAAAACCTCCTGCTAAGTCCTCTCAAACCCGAGAATTGCAGGACGTCTGCGCTGACAGTAGCTGTTTTGCTTGGACAAGTTGTTGTGAACTTCTATACGTGTAATTGCTCTTAAAAGCCGTCCCTGTAACCGGTCACGAAAACCCTTGATCGGCGGCGTGAAACTGCAGTTGCTCTCGTACTGTTAAATTACACAGCTTGAAACATGTCAGATTACACAGATTATCTTCAAGGATTCCTGGTAAAATCAAAGTAGTTCTTTTGAAACCCCCTGTCGTGATAGCTGACACCCTTGACTGTTTCAGAGAACGTGCATCGCTTTTCCTAGAAAGCTTCGGGTGAGGCGTGCGTTACCTCTGAATCTCATTCCCTTCATCTCTGCTGTAACCTCCGCGTCTGGCTGCCGAGATAAAGCCGGTGAGAAATGGCTCACCTGTGCAGCGGAGGAGACCTATATTTATTCCATGCTAATTTATATCAGTCATGATATTCCCTCATCACGACCCGCAAACCGTTTCGCTTCAGCTTTCTACAAGTTTGTAATAATGTCTTTTCTGTCACTCTTAATCCCCTGCTGCAGTTTTCACATGCAGCTTCATTTTTCATGTTGCCGAGATGTTTAAAATCAGACCAACAAAATACGTGACTCACTAAAGTGCTCTTTTAGAAGAGTTATCAAAATCATCATAGCAAGTGGTTGGTGCACAGACAGGAGTCGTTGTTGCATGTCATGAGACGTTTCTCAGTGCCTTCCTGCTTTTAATATTAAATGTTTTGACAGAGACTGTAAGAGGAGACAAACCGCTTGTAGACAAATCACAGAGAGAAACTGTATTGCTCTACTGTTGTAAAGTCTCACATTTCAGTTATCGGTAAAACCAGTGCCATTGAAAGTTTGGGGTCAGTACAATTTTTTTTATGTTTTTGAAAAGTCTCTTCTGCTCACCAAGGCTGCATAATATTCTGAAATATTATTACAATCTAAAATAACTGTTTTCTATTTGAATATGTTTTAAAATGTAATTTATTCCTGTGTTCAAAGCTGAATTTTCAGCATCATTTCTCCAGTGTCTTCAGTGTCACATGATCCTTCAGAAATCGTTCTAGATTACAGCCGTAGCTCTCCAACAGAATGCTGTCGAGGCTTAAGAAACGCCTCAGCAGAACGAGACTGACGGAAACCTCCTCAGTCTCATTTCTCTCACTCTCTCTGCTCCAGACCGGGTGAAATTAGCGATGGTCGGGGGCGCGTTTCATTGTAATCAAAGTGATTCTCTCTCGGAGGCAGATGTTCTTTTTCTCGCTCTCTTTTGGGTGATGAATGGGAGTCACGGAGGCCTGATTCTCTGCTACTCTGTCGGCTCTGTCAGTGTTTCATAATGTGAGGCTACAGTCGTGAGAGATTGAACCGTCTCTGTGTTCTAATAGCTCGCCAGTCGGCCCTGTCAAAGACCCGTAATGAACACGCAGCCAGGTGACGGGAGGTGTTAATGAGCTAGCGTCTTGACTCCGGCTTGCAATTTGTCAAAAGCATTATGGTTTAACACGTTGTTCGTTCCCCTTAATAAAATGTGAAATCTTGGAGTAGGCGGATTCAACTTTTTCTTTTTTTTTTTTTTCTTTTTTTGAGCAAGATGAGTAGAGTTATGAGGATTGAAGTGGTGGGATTAGGACTGATGAAGCTTCAAGTAAATAGTTTTTGCT